AATAACATAATGTAGGCAGGCTAATCGAGATGCTGGGCGGGGCTTATTGACCAATTGAGGCAGAGATAAAATTGCAGTGGGGCAGAGTTAAAAGCGCCAAGAAGCCTGTACAGGAAGGGGGAAGGAGGAAGGTGTCCCTGCTTCCCCAACAACTCCAGAAGCTGCAACTTCCTCCACTCATCTCTTCCAGCCCATTAGGGGTGTGCATGGGCAAACAATTTGGTTCGGTTCGGCACTTGGGCAATTTGGACTACGACAATTCGGGACTTCAGCAATTCGGCACTTTGGTTCGGTTCAGCACTTCGGCAATTCGGGACTTCGGCAATTTAGACATCTGTAAGCATTCCTCTCTTGCCACCTCAACCACTTACACATCTGTAGGGCTCCCTAACCCCTAACCCTACCCCTAGGGGTAGGGTTATGGGTAGCTCCCTGTACTCCGACCGAGTACCCTCCGTTGTTGGATGCTCCTAGCGCTTCATGAGGACTCCAAGCGCTGCAGCAGACACCACAACCACCGCAGACTCCGCAACCGCCGTATCTTGAATGGAGTCTCGCCGGCTTCCTTCCACCCTGGATCAGCTTCTGTCCTCCAGGACTGTGTGGGAAAGAACTCTTCCTTCCACCCTGAATGAACCTCCAGCATCCAGGACTGTGTGGTGAAGACCCCTCCTCCAAGGAGAGCGTGTCAGGAACAAGCTCTTAAAAGAGCTAGGTGACTCAAGCTGAGAGGAGCATGCAGAGCATAGCAATCCCCAGTGTGATTATAACAGCTCCCTCCAATAACGAGATGAGGCTACGTTTAGAGGGATCAAGAAGAACTGTCAAAACCTTTATTTCCCTTGGGACCAGCCAATAGGGTCACCACAATAACATTGTTGTGAAACCTCAATAAAATCACAAACAGTCAAACCATATCAAGCAACAGTGACTTATCACAACACAATGGCACATTTTTAAAGGGGTGGGGGGAGACAATATTTAACAGTAAATATCTCACCTGCCTGCAGAATTAGCAATATGCAAATCTACCCGAATATGCAAATGAACCAGTCTTGCAATTCAGGGCACTAGACAAGCTCCATAGCCAAACCCACCTAGTTGGTAGCAAACCTCAGCAATACAAGAGAGCAGGCAATACATTTCACAGTACACACACACACACACTATAAACAATTACATTACACACACCCTGCACCTATAATGGGTACAGGGTGACTAAAACATAAGATAAATAAAGCAGCCTACATAAATAGTCTGTCTGAAGGTAGACTAGGGGCTTTAAAGCCAGATACATGAAAGAGTCATAGTCACAGGGGAGGAGGCTGGCAAGTAGGCCTCTCCAGGACCAAGTGGCGAAGGGCACTTCGTCACAAGAGCATTGTCGCGGGTTACGACAGCAACGCTCTGATAGGGTCTCGTACGATACACGGTCTGCAGCTCGGCACCCGGCGGAGCTGCAAACCGAATATCATGGCCACAGGACCACCAGGGAGCCCACAGAGAACCACAAGGGAGCCCACACTGGACCACCAAGAAAAGAAAAAAGGTATTTAGTCTCACCCCCCCTTTCTCACACCATTACCCTGTCCCTCACAGTATCACCCCCTCCCACACACCATCATCCCCTCCCTCACACCATCAACCCCCTCCCACACAGTAGTAACCCCTCCCTCACACCATCACTTATCTTCTCCTTCACAATATCACCCCCGATCATATCATCAACTCTCTGTATAATCTGGTCAGTATAGCAGGTCGCTGGGCAATCCTTAAAGTAGGCAATCCTTGAAGTGGGCTGCGCGCTCGGGACGTTCCTGTCCCTTCGATGGCCCCTGTTCTTCTCCGTCCCGAGCGCGCAGCCCACTTCAAGGATTGCCTACTTTAAGGATTGCCCAGCGACCTGCTATACTGACCAGATTATACAGAGTTGATGATATGATCGTTTCTTCACTAAACAGGAATCGTTTTCATCCCCACCTTACACATTACCATCTGCAGACTTCAGCATCCTCCTACTGTGTATATCCAAAAGCAACTTCTACATTGGTGAGATCCACCCATATACAATGAACCATATAGTGCACTATATTTTGGACTGCTAGTCATCAGGACTGTATTACTTTTTTACAATTATTATTTTTTCTTCTTTTTTCTTTTCTTTTTCTTTTTTCCCTTTTTTCGGTTGGATTTTTTCCATTTTTTTCATTCCATTTTTTCTATTTTTTTGGATCATTACCTACTGTAAATAGATGCATAGATTATGAACTTTAGCATGGATGAGGGAGGATTCTGTGTGTATATATATATATATATATATATATATATGTAAATAGTTTATGTATATAGGATGAAATGAGTGTTACCATGATAAAATACTATTATCTTTATGAATTTATCTAAAATCATTACAATAAATATTTTGAAATTGAATGCAGGATTAGCAATAAGTTTCATTGCAATCTTTTGAGTGCAGTATTCATATTTGTTTATGATTGAGACTAGGAGGTTGTTGTGGGGTTAAACCTCGAATACCTGCACCTTACGTAATTGAGTGCCAGCACATATGGTGTTTTAGGGAATAGAATAGGGTAGAATATAAAAAGAGTACCAGTTCACATGAAAGAGTGGTACTGTAGCTTTAAGATTTTAGGAACAAGCCGTATGGCCCTAGCACGTTTATGCGCGCGCCCCCGAATGCGCTCCCGGGTGCACGCGCGCACCTGGTCGCGTGCACCCATGTGACATCGACAGCAGGATGGATGGCAGGACCAGAGTAGCGTGGGCTGCGAGGAGGTTTGACAGGTACCATTTGCACGAACTAATCCAATTGTGCATAACTTCATTGAAATGTTCTCGTTCATTAGATTATGCCATAGAATAGCGCTCCGTTCAGATGGATTTAGCCCAATGCACGGAAGGTAGAAGTCTAAGCGGTGTTGGTGGAAATAGTAGCTGAAAATTGTTCCAGGCGTTCGACGACAAAACACCGCTGGGCGCATTCGGCTAAACAAAATGGCCACTGCCACGTGTTCGTTCATGCAAACGCCAACCACCCAGCCATTCGCCAATTAAGCTGCGGTTAACCACAGCTTCTGGGGGCTCAATGAGCAGCACACTCCACATGCAGGGTGGTCCACTGTTCGACTGTTTGTTCGGTAAACTCTATTTACTGAACCACATGGGGAAAGAGGCATGAACAAGCCTTTTTACAGCCCTGGTGCACAGTTTCACACAGGGGCATAGTCTTGGGGCAGGAGGCTGGCAAGCAGGCCCCTCCAAAAACCAGTGACGAGGTCACTTTAGCCACACTTAATATGTTATCTTTAAAATTTTCAGGTGGTTTATTTGGAGCATATATATTGAGTAATGAGAAGAGTTTGCCCTGTAGGTCGCAGATCAAGAATACACTTCTGCTGTTCTTGTCTACTTATCTGCATAGTTCTTTATATGTTACATTTTTTGAAATTCAAATTTTGACTTCTTTCTTTTTCAAGCTATAGTCTGAGGTGACAAGAGTTGGATAATAGTAACTTTCTATTTTTCGATTTCCAGCTTTCCAGTGTGTGTCTTGTATAAATCCAACAGTGACATTCTTTGTCCATAACTGACTAGAAGTGTACATTTCGGAGTTGTATTCAGGCCCTTAACGTTCAATGTTATAATCCTAATTTCTCACACCTCAGAAGCTTGCAGTCTATTTTGAAGTTATTTAGAAACACAGTAACAATATTTGGGCCATGAAGACAACTTAACATTTTTGTTTCAAATTTTATTACAATAATCAAAATTACTTATATAAGTGATGAGTACACAAATGAGCAGCAAATTGGAAGAGTAGGTAAAACTACAAGTCTTATTACATAAGTGGACCATAACAGTCTATTGTAAATCTGCTAATATTTTGAAAGATTACAAAATGTAACAATATGTCACAGTAATAAATACAAAAAATGATTGAATTAAAAAAAATTGTAATTACTAATGGCGCTTATGCCAAAATAACAAGACCTCACTTGGAGTATTGTACACAGTACTGGAGACCGTATCTTCAGAAGGATATTGATACCTTAGAGAGGGTTCAGAGAAGGGCTACTAAACTGGTTCATGGATTGCGGGATAAAACTTACCAGGAAACGTTAAAGGATCTTAAGATGTATAGCTTGGAGGAAAGACGAGACAGGGGGGATATGATAGAAACATTTAAATATATAAAGGGAAACCCTGCCTGGTGATCTAAGAGCCTGTCTGGTGAGGAGTGTGTTTTCCCTTCAGCATCATAAATACAACTTATTTGTTTGGGGATCCTGTTACAGAAATGAGACATATAGGTTTACTCCATGTTAACCCCAGTTAGAGCTGGTAGCTATTTATATTGTCATGATATTAGGTGACCTCAAAGGCACAGTGAAGTACATTGAAATTATACATGCAGCTCTTCCTGGTTGTTAATTATTGAGTTATTGTTCTGCTCTATTCTATGACAGGAATTTAAGATCCACTGCTTACAAATCTGCAGAAAAACAAAGCTCCGATATATTACCTAATAATATTTTTTATCAATCTCAAAGCTTGCTCTCAGTATTTAGTAGTTGCCACTATTTTCAAAAACACCAAATTTTTCTTCAATGGAATTGCAACATTGGACATACTGTTGCAATATATAATCTAACCTAATATTGTATAGCAACAAAATATATATTATATATCCTAACATTTGAGGCAACCTGGCCAGCTGCCTAAAACATTGAGCTCTCTCTGATCATTTAGGTGCAGAATCAGAGGCGTAACTAGAAACAACCAGGCCCCTGCCAAAACGGCACTGGGGCGGCCCCCATGTGCCTCATTCCCCCCACCCCCCCCAGCCCTTCCACACATCTCATCTCCCTCTGCCAGCCCCTTCACATGTCTCATTATCGCCCAATCGCTTCATGTTTCTTACTGACCCCTCAAGCCCCCATATGTCTCACCCCCCCTTCTTGTGTCTCTCCTACCCCCATTCATTTGTGACACATACACACACACTGACAGACACACACACACACACACACTCACTGACAGGTAGACACACTCACACTGACTGACAGACACTCACACTGACAGACAATCACACTGACAGACAGACAATCACACTGATGGACAGACACACACACTGACACTAACAGACACTCACACTGAAAGACACACACACCGACAGACACTAACAAACAGACACACACTGACAGACGTGTCATGTTCTGCAGAGATGTCTGGCCTTGGCTACAATTCTTGTTTAGTTTTTCTTGGTTTTTCTAGTTTTCAATTCCATGTCTAGTTTTCTTTATGCTGGGTTTTTCTGGGTTCATTCCTGTATTTCATCCCTGGAATTCCTAGTCTCCAGGGTTCCTTTAAATGCTTGTTTTATGTTGCCACACCCGTTCCTTTTCCATGATTCCTTTTGTTTCAGTTGGAGCCTGCAGGCAGTTACTCAAGTCTTCTGTCCTTTCTTGCAGGTAAGTGCTATATGTGTTTCTTATGGTTCTTCTAGCATACATTAGGCAGAAAAGGACCTGCCAGATATGGGGTACATTGGCGTTGTTGGCAGGCTTATGCAATGTATGATCATATAATGTAACTAAATCCCCATGATTTTCATATATAGTACTTAGTTATTTCTCCTCTTGTTTTGCCTATCATATCTTGTCTTGTTTTAGTTTGTATTCCCAGTCCATGTACAGTCCTGTCCTGTCTTGCCCATGTTATGTCAATGGTTCCCTTACGTATTGTGTACATGTTCTGGGTTTAGCTTCCTATCCTTCTCTGGTTCTGGGTTTTATTATTTCTGTCTTGTTTTCATGTTTGGTGACTATCCTAGCCTTGTTTCTGTACTGGATACATTCTTGCTGCAGAGCCTCCCTATTCAGCTCCTGGGAGGTCTGCTTACTTCCTAGCTTCAAGTTCCTGGGATCCACTGTAGCTGCATCAGGGTTCTGGTATGTGGCCGCACAAACGCTGGTGCTCAACACCAGAGGGCGTGTGGTTGCCCTGCACCAGAACCTGATAATACACTTCCACGCTGAAGACTCCCATCTCATCATCATGCACTCAGGGGTCCCGGTTTCCGTACCGCCACCCGTGACAGCCAGATGCCAACTCCTGGGCCCCCTGTGAGAGGGCTCATCTAGGCATCCCCACCTTCGGCGTCTCACAGACACAGGGGTCAGCAGGGCACCAGAGCCCCCTGGTGTGATGGACCCAGTCACAGCTGGGACCCTTGTGACTGTGGTAGTTCCACCCCTGCGCACAATCTGTATATACTTTCTTTTTTCACTATTGTTTCACTTCTTAATCTTGTTCACTGTATATTTTAATGTAAATATTTTCTCTAAGAATACATTTATTGTAATATTACTGTGTTCATTTTTAAATTATTAAGTTTTGTCAGGGCAACCTCTCATTATCTAATAAGTTTACACCCAGGGTTATCCCCTTAGCATGCCCATGACCAATGGATAATTGAGCTCCTCATTGTATCTATATAAGTAAATGACAAGTTAGCATAAATATGATAAGAATGTGTTGATTTGGTTTCTAATGACAGTCTCAGGAGGATGAAGATTGTAAGAAGCAAAAGCTATTGTCATTTCCCAAGCATCAATCACTCCAACATTATGTCTTTTAAATATGTCTTTAAGAATTAGATATTGAATGTAGCCATGAAAATCACTAATTCGTTCAACATCTGTGTTCATATCCCTTGAATTCTCTACTTTTAGGAAGACCTTGGTTTCGGGGCTTCGTAGAAAAATACGTTCAATGGCCCTTCTTACATTCAGTAGTCTTCTGATGAACAAATGCACAGGGAAACCTCTAAAATGTTGTCCAAGTGTAATAACAACGATGGTGTTTGGACTACCAGGAAGTTCATCAATTTCACGGGCAATGTAAGCACAGTCTTTGACAGTGTAGCCAACAGAGCTGACAAATGGATGTCCATGCTTCTTCCACTGAATATATATATTCCGATCGATATCCAGAGCTAAATATCGTTTATGTAAACCATGTCCAGGAAGATTAAAAAACTTGAGACCTGCAAAAAAAGCAATAAAACCTGTATTTTAAGATACAATTTGTTATAATACCAATAACTTATTATATATTTAATCGTATGAATTTAAAACACCAAAAATGTTAAATGACAACAGAATTTAAAACTATGCATGATAAATGGAGTGATTTGAGAAATTGCATCTTCAGCATGACTTATCTTTGGAAATATTACTATATTTATAGCAGGCATTGTTAATAATATGTTTTTTCTTCATCCCTGACAACTCCTCTGTACACTCAAATTTGTCAGATTTATCAAGACCATGGATAGGCAACATTCGTCATTCGAGATGTGGACTACATCTCTCATGATGCTTTGCCAGTATTATGACTTTAAGAAGTATGGGATATGTAGTTTTAAAACATGTGGAGTGCCAAAGGTTGCCTACCCCGGTCTTGATCATTATGTTTGATTTATTCAGGCCTACTCTGCCTGTTATTCAGACTCTGCCTACTCTGCCCACAGAGCTTTGACATCTCTAAGGATGGATGACTCTGCTATCGCTTGGTTAGATCTGATTTCTGCATTTTTTTATCATTAATTTGAAGACCTTTTACACAATTTTGGGTTGATTAAGCTCAAATAATATTCCTTTACACCTTCATATAAATTTCTGGGATTGAACATAATTCACTAATGCAATTTTACCCTTCCTTTTTGCTTTAGGCACACCACTTCTGCTACCTCTCTACTCATTTATCCTCCTGAACAAAGCCATACATGTAACGTACACACACATACACTGAAAATCCACAACATAGAACCACTGACAGGTGAAGTAAATAACAGTGATTTTATCATTACAATAGCATTTGTCAAGGGTGGGATATAGTAGGCATAAAGTGAACAGTCAGTTCTCGAATTCCATATTCCATAACAAGAAAAATAAGCAGGCGAGTGAAAAGGACCAAATAGTAATGAAAAGATGACTGGCTCAGAGCATCTCATAAATTGCAAGTCTTGTAGGGTGTTCTAGGTATGCAGTGGTTAGTACAAATACACAAAAACTCCTGCGCTCAAACTTCCACTAATACTGGGTGGCAGCAACGACCATCCATAGCACACATCAGCCCCAATACATACAGTGTAAAAAAAAAAAAAAAAAATTACCTGCACACTAGCTCAAATTCCTATACATATATAAATGGAGGTGCATAAAAAATAGTAGAATAGTGAGAGCACACTGTACATGCAATAAATTATATTACCAGTACTTCATAAGGTAAATGGTTTTGCTTAGCATTCTCTGCAATGCCTGGTTGCTTTTGAGTTCTGTGAGTTACTAAGCAATGCGGTTATTTGGGGCCCAGTTTTCCTGTGTGTGTTTGTCCAGGATCTTTTGGCAACCGCACAGCCCTCTAGGGTAAGAAAACCAGGTCAAGACAAAGTCCAGTTTCAAAAAGGCCTCTGGCCTGTTTATTTTCTGTTGTTGTGAAGTAACAGGATACAATGAACATCAAATCTTCTTTCTCCATTGTATCCTGTTACTTCACAACAACAGAAAATAAACAGGCCAGAGGCCTTTTTGAAACTGGACTTTGTCTTGACCTGGTTTTCTTACCCTAGAGGGCTGTGCGGTTGCCAAAAGATCCTGGACAAACACACACAGGAAAACTGGGCCCCAAATAACCGCATTGCTTAGTAACTCACAGAACTCAAAAGCAACCAGGCATTGCAGAGAATGCTAAGCAGAGCCATTTACCTTATGAAGTACTGGTAATATAATTTATTGCATGTACAGTGTGCTCTCACTATTCTACTATTTTTTATGCACCTCGATTTTGTGTGGTTGAGTGATTCACACTTAAGTGATAGTAGCACCACTTATTACTGTTTTTCCCATACTTTTTATACTATATATAAATGGAGGTTACTTAGTAGCTCCATTGGCCAGTAGATGAAAGCCAACCTATCACATACCCTATTAAGGATTAATAAGTATGAAGGGGTTAAAAAAAATACCCCTCTCTGTCTCATTAGAGATTTCTTAGCCTGAAGCTGAAGGAAGCAAGCTAAATTATTAGTGTAGGACCCACCTAAGAGCCTTGACGCACATCCACACATCTACGCATATACACATACATATACATACATACCATGTACATATCATGATCGAAATAAATCATATAAACCACAAAACACATTTTACTAGTATATCCAATTAACATAGCATGTTATCCTTATTACAAAATCATATAATGTCCTATTCAGGACCCTTCCCCTTTCTTCCCCCTTTAAATCTTTCCTCTTCCCTTTCATTTGTTGAATTCATGGCACTAAATTAATGGATTAGGGAAGTGAGAGCCACGCGTCTCATGGTGAATTCAATTCTCCCTCGCCTTATACTATTCCCTAGGTAGAGAGGGTAGTAAGGTCTTTAGTTGAAGTAAAAGTGGTACTCCCTCTGGGGTATCCAGGTCCATTGTTTGGAAGAATCTTCTTGGATCCCCCGATGGGAAAAGAGCTCTGGTTTGGTAATTGTGGAAGGCAAATAAGTTAAAGGGATGATCTCAAGCAAAAGAAATGTGATTAAGTCACAGATGTTCAGTGATTGGTTTCCATTGCCGTCTCTTTAAGAGAGTAGTGGGAGATAGATCTTGGCATATCTGAAACGCCTTCTCCCTATATATAACCTCCATCCCTCTGCATTTACGTACAATTGCATCCTTAGTGCTATAGTAATGGAATGTTACTATTATATCTCTGGGGCGTTCATCGTTTATAAGTGATGCACCTGCTGAACGACGTGCACATGGGCATCCGCAGGAATATTTCTGGGGGGGTGGGAGGTGGCTTGGCCCCTTTTAGACAGTGTCTTGAAGGGGAGGGGCATAGTTATTATTACATAAAGCCAGGGTGAATAGCGATTTCACAACTACGGTGTCAGGAATACATGTTTGGTATTGTGTAATAAGGTCGGTTTTAGTCGTGTTGTGTTTGTGGTGTAATGTAATGCATATGTGGCTAGGGGCTGTAGAGAATGTGTGTATAGGGGATGTAGCAAGTGTGTGCATACAGGCTATAGTGTGTGTGTGTATAGGTGATGTAGTGTTTGTAGAGAGTGTGTGTTCAGGGAATGTAGTATGTGTTTGCTTACAAGGAATCTAGTGTGCATATAGGGGATCCAGAGTGTGTGTGTGTGTATATATATATATAGTCTTGTGTGTGTTTGATGGACCCA